AATGCAAAATTAATGAACACGGTACAACATGGGAGTTATTTTCAGGGAAAATTCACCCAATGTTACGCGTTCACAGTGTTGGAATTATAACATCGACGTCGCCAAAAACATGCGACGTTTTCAACATCTTGTGAGATTGAAGTGGTAACGTGTAGAAATTACAATATGGGCATCGCCAAAAATTTGTGTTTTCAAAACCATGTGAGATGGAAGTGGTTAACTGTCGACTGAAGTGCGCACGTTTCACTACTTGCCCAACGGCATTTTCGAGCATTTCAGTACTGTTGGTTGGGATGTCAGCATCTACTGTTGGCGCAGATATTGCTGCATTTTTTCGAATTAAGAACGCCAACAGACCATGGATGCGGTTCACGCTGGCCGAGATATGACTTCGGGAAACATATCATTGCAACATTTAGCATGCTGGTCCCAATTGGTTGGTTGGCCTTGCTTTCGTTGGTCGCGAGTGGAGCCAAGCCATGGTGGACCTCGCCTGAACTCCTCGAGGCCTCAAATGCGGCGGCCCAAGCTGATCCCTCCCCTGCGCGATGTTGCTTCAACGATGGAGACCTCATCAGCCTCCGCTCTGGCCCCAATTCATTTATTGGGCGCTGCAAGGACTGTGTGTCCCCTGGTGCATACCCTGACATGGCGGTCATGCACATGGCCGATTCCAAGGACGCGTCGTGGCCGCAATGGAGGGTTTTCAACACTTGCGATGGAAAAATCGTACTCCAAGCGGATACAGGCAAGTTCCTGGGTAGTAGCAACAACAGTGCACCTAGTGGAACCACCAACCCCAACCAAGTATTCGTGCATGTGGACGACTGGCACACGTCGCCATGGGCCAAGTGGGAGTGTGTGGATGCAGGCAACGGCAAGATCGGGCTCCAAGCGGATTCCGGACGGTATTTAGCCAGTTGCAACAGCTGCATGCCTGGGGCGAGCCCCAACTCTGTGCTTGTGCATGCCACTTCCGTGTCCGAGGCGTACGCTCAGTGGACAGTCGTGTCAAGCAATCCAAAAGCTGGAAAGTGTACCTCCACTGCACCCACCCCACCACCGCCTACCACCACATGCACACCATCCCCGTCCCCGCCATGTCCTCGTCGCGTGCGCAAGGCATGGACGGCACTCACAGTCAATGAAAAAACCCTGTTCCAAAACGCCCTCGGGCAAGGTATCGTTCCTTTCCCTTGGTATTGGTTTCACTGACGGGTGTCATGTCAGCCATGTTGCGAGGGTTCCACCACAAATTCATCGAAATCCACATGGACACGGACTCGGGGCACGAAGCGCACGACTGCCTCTTTTTCCTTTGGCACCGCCGGTATTTGTTGGCGTACGAGAACATGCTGCGATCTCTTGGTGATGAGTATCGTTGTATCACGCTGCCGTATTGGGATGTTGGCACTCTCAGCACCAAGTTTGCAACGGGGGCGTGCCAGTACTTTCCCGATTGCAACCCCCTCCTCAGCGATATGGGCGGGCTCGAAACAGGCACTGACTTGGGATTGGGGACGTATGCAGTTGCCGATAAGAGTTTCAACGCAGCGACGTGCATCCGATCACAGCACCCTGTCACGCGCAACTTTTGCCAGTCGTGGACTGCATATGCAAACAAGACTTGTCTCCGGTACAATCCATCAAACGATTCTCCTTTGGATGTAATTTGATATTTCTCCAGATGCATTCCTCGCAACAAGTGGGCCAAAGCATTGCCGCCGCCGGACGTGTACATCGAGAACGTGTACAACCAATTGTTCTCGTCTGCCCCGTACGACTTTACCAAAGTGACCAAAGGAGTCCAGTACCGGTACCACAACGCGATTCATGGCGCGCTGTCGTCCACGATGGGGACGTTTGCGGCGCCTGGAGACCCCATCTTTTACATTCATCACGTACGCTACCCAATGTCCCGCGTGTGTTTTATTCGCTTCGTCGTTTTGCCGGTAGGCTACGGTGGATGCATTGCATTCGATTTACTACAAATGCGTCGTCCCACCGAATGTCGACGCGAAACACTCGACGGTGTGGCCAAACCCGGCCAATTGGCGTCCGTCGAGCTTCTCCACTTCATGCAGCAAAGGCAAACGGTCCGATGGAACGTACATTGAGTATCAGCCGACGGACCGCATGACCATGAAGCTCGTCGGGTGCAATGGAGGCTACGTCGACGTTCAAGATCCTTCAAGCGTACTCAAGCCATTCTTCGATGCAATCGGACGCCAGACTTACGCGGAGTTCAACAATATCCAAGACCTCGGTGCCAACAACTCGTACTCGTACGATTTCGGCACGAGTAGTTTGGGGGTGCTGGCGACTCAGTGTGACAAGTATGGGCGCCCCACCGCAAGTACCCTTCTGGAATCGACTGCGAGTGCAACGGAGGGTACGTCGCCATACAATGTGTTCGAGGTGTACACGTCCGTGACGGAGACAGTAGATCCCGTCGATTCCAGGGAGGATCAGTTTGTGCGCGAGATGTTTTTGTACTGCAAGTCGAAGAACGTCCCGGACGATCAAATCATGGAGCGCATCAATTGGATGCAATGTGTCTTCCACAACGAGTGCAAGCAGGGCGTGTTCGACTACACGACTGAGTTCCAGTCGTCGTTTGGCATCCAAGGCCCACCCTATTGCTACACCACGATCTCCCGACTTGCCAACAGAACAATCAGCATTGGCGTCCCTGGCTGGGAACAAGTGTATTCGAAGCACTACACATGCCAGTCCACTGTCACGTAGACCTCAACTTGAAAACATGTACATGGCATTCACATCGAGTGTTTTTCCCGCTAGTCTCTCCTCAATCGAATGACGGGGGAGCACTCTTCGTGCAGTCTCAACTGGCGCGCCAGATCTGTCGTGGCACCACCTCGTGCCGTCATCCCGCCGACGCGTTCGTCTTCTTCACCCTACTTTTATTTTTTATTTAATTTAAAACTATTTAAAGGAACACGCCAAAGTACTTAAACGCATGTAGCTGGAGCCCTGACGAATGTCAACCTTCGACTGTACTGAGCTGCTTGGAATAGAAAAACGTCCTTTGGAATACTTAAACGCTTTCCTAAAACTTGAATTCGCCATGTTGATTGGGCCATTTTGAACGTTTTTGGCCTGACGCGCCAACGTCACCCCAACGATTTGAAAAATGTCAAAATATTTTAGGAATATTTCATGTGTTTTTCGCCAATTATGCCCCTGCCACATCTTTGTCCCAACGTTATCCGGACGATCCCCCGCCACTTCCTTCGTGTGGCTCACACTTGCACATTTGCCTACTCAAGACCTACCATGCTGGCCCGCTCCATGACCCTCCGCTTCTTCAGTGCCGCTGCTGCCGGCAAGAAGGTTGCTGTCCTCGGCGCTGCCGGTGGTATCGGCCAACCCATGTCGCTCCTCCTTAAGGACAACGACAATATTTCGCACTTATCTCTCTTCGATGTGGTCAACACTCCGGGTATGGCCGCCGATTTGAGCCATTGCAACACCCGCGCTAAGGTCACCGGCCACGCCGGCATGGACAACATTGAAGCCGCTTTGACTGGCATGGACGTTGTCGTGATCCCCGCTGGTGTGCCCCGCAAGCCCGGTATGACCCGCGATGACTTGTTCAACACGAACGCGTCGATCGTGCAATCACTTGCCACAGCCGCCGCCAAGTTCTGCCCCAAGGCCATGCTTTTGATCATTGCTAACCCCGTCAACTCGACTGTGCCCATCGTTGCCGAAACGTTTAAAAAGTTTGGCGTGTACGACCCCAAGCGCCTTTTCGGTGTGACCACGTTGGATGTGGTGCGCGCCAACACTTTCGTCGCCGAATCGCAAGGGTGGAACCCCCGTACGACCAACGTGACGGTCATCGGCGGTCACGCCGGCACGACCATCTTGCCGTTGTTGTCTCATCTCAAGCTGGACAAGAAGTGGTCGGACGACGAACTCCATGCGTTGATCAAGCGCATCCAATTCGGTGGTGACGAAGTTGTCAAGGCCAAGGATGGTGCTGGGTCTGCCACCCTCTCGATGGCGTATGCCGGTGCTCGTTTCACCTCGTAAGTCGCATGGTCGTGATGTTCCAGGGGGAATCTCATATGTATTGCCCAGGCGCTTGTTGGATGCCATGTCTGGCGAAAAGAACGTGATCGAGTGCTCGTACACGCAAAACAACGTGACCAAGCTCGACTTTTTCTCGACCCCTGTGACCCTCGGCCCCAACGGTGTCGAAGAAGTCCACTCGTTCGGCAAGTTGAACGCCGTCGAACAAGCCAACTTCGACTCGATGTTGCCAGGTACGACCCATCCGACCTCCGTTGGCGCGGGAACGTCGTGCTGATGGAATTATTGTAGACTTGGAAAAGCAAATCGCCAAGGGTGTTGAATTCGTGCACAAGAAGTAAAACACAAAAACGCACACGTTTTTTTTCAATGGAATTTATTGGGAGCAGGGGTGATGAACAATACCTTAATTGTCGCTTCGCACTTGCAGAACCTGCAGACGGCAAAGACGTCCTGCATCCACATTATTTGTTAATTGTATGGGTATTACAAATAAAGTACGACCTTCAAAGTTGTGGGAAGAGAGCTTTGAACGAGTCATTTTGAAGCGACAAGATGGTGCTGTATGTGATTGGTTTAGGTCTGGGCGACGAGACGGACATCACGGTCCGCGGCCTCCGAGCGGTGCAGTCATGCGACAAAGTATACTTGGAGAACTACACGAGCATCCTTGGCATCGACCACAACACGTTGGTAACGACATCCTCCGCCGTCGTCATGCTTGATTCACTGATTTTGCGTAGAGCAAATTCTACGGCCGCGAAGTGATCCTCGCGGATCGTGACTGCGTGGAAACTGGCGCTGAAGTTATCTACGCCAATGCGAAAGACCAGAACATTGCGTTTCTTGTTGTTGGGGATCCATTCTGGTACAGTCCACCATCAAGCACCTATGGTCAAGCTAAATATTCAATTCGCCAGCGCCACGACCCACTCCGATTTGATTCTGCGTGCCCAGGAGATTGGCGCCAAGGTGATTTCACCTCACCTACTTCAGGTGTCTTAACGCTTGGGGAACAGGTAGAAGTGATTCACAACGCGTCTGTGATGGGTGCCGCGGGCGCGTGCGGGCTGCAGGTAGGGTCTCAAGCAGCCCTTGTACATGACGATTTCGACGTTGTGTAGTTGTACCACTACGGCCAAACCGTGTCGATCCCCTTCTTTAATGACAACTGGCGCCCTGACAGCTTTTACGACAAAATTGCGTTCAACCGTAAGGGCGGTCTACATACGTTGTGTCTTCTTGGTATGCACGACGACACAATCATTGGTTCAGCATTGACAACGTAGCGACGTAGATATCAAGGTGAAGGAACCCGACTTTGAAGCGATGGCGCGCGGCCGCACCGTTTTCTTGCCGCCTCGCTTCATGACTGTCAACCAAGCCGTGGAGCAGTTGCTCGAGGTGGAGGACAAGCGCCAGGAAGGCGTATACTCCCGCGACACACTGTGCGTGGGCTTGGCTCGGTTGGGTCAAACCGATCAAAAGTATGTCACTCATTGTGGAGTTCCTATGGCTGAGGGATCAATTGGATGGTAGGATTGTTGCTGGCACGATGGCTGAGCTGTTGACGGTGGACTTTGGCGCGCCGTTGCACTCACTCGTGATCGCTGGGGACGTCCATGTGCTCGAACAGGAAATGCTGGCGCAGTTCAGCGTCAAGTTGCTCCAACCCGCCGCGGCGAAAGCCGTGGAAGAGGAGAGCACTGCATAGACAATAATTCCAGGCAAAATCACAACGCACGATCGTTGGGACAAATTGTTTTTATCGTCATTTTTAGAATAACCAAAAACGAATAGTGATTGTGCAGAGATCAACACTCCGATCAAGTGGATAGAAAATATGAAGGAGTTTGGAGCGGCGTACGTCGGCGACAGCCACAGCGTGTCCGACGGTCTCCGTCTGATCTTGTGGCGGCATCATGATGGTGCTATGTACGAGGTCATTCGAAGGGGAAGCGACAAACCGCGAGCCCTCACATGTTCTGGGGAAGTGTAAGCGGGCGCAGAGGAAGGTGCGCCAGACTGGGTAAAGTGGAGAATGAATTAGCAGCGTTAATCCTATCTAACGCTACAGCTAAGGCACGCA